CACAGAGACACGGACACAGAGACACGGACAGACAGACACGGACAGACAGGCAGACACGGACACGGATAGACACACAGACACACACGGATCGCGCACAGTAACAGCGCACGCAGAGCACACACAGCGGAGAGCAGACACGGGCACAGCCCACACACACACAGAGCAAACAGAGCGCACACGGACACGCGTAGCCTCGGAGGTGACCTGAGCCAGCACCCCGCGGTGACCCCGAGCCAGCTGCTGCTGCTGCAGGGAACACACCGAGCGAGCCCGGAGCGAGCGCCGTGCCCAGCGCGGGGCTGGACCCGCACCCTCCCCCGGCCCTGCTGCTGCTCAGGGGCCCGTCCAGGAGCGCCGCAGGGAACCGGCCCCAGTGCCCCCACTCCCTCCCTAACCCTGACCCCTGCGTGCCCCTGCCCCACACACACGTCCCGGGCTGGTTGCCTTGAAAATGTCCCTTTGCCAAGCACAGGGATCAGCTTGTGGGACCCACCGGCCGGGGAGGGCCGTCAATCACCGACCACCAGCTCAGCGCTTTCCAAAATGTTACTTTCCACGAAATGGTACTTTCCTTAATCCAACACCTAAATCTGCTTGGGAAAAGAGTTGCTGTAAGAGCAAGGAAAACTGCCTGCCGAGAACAGCCAGGAAATGTGTTTAATTTGGGATAATGAGGCTATGAGTCCCACAGACTTATTTACTCCTTCAGGACCAGAGATTTGCCTTCCTTGGGGTGAACCGAGCTTCGCTTTTTGTGCATCTGTTCCTCTATCAGAAATTTTTGCCCTTTTCTGGGGGGAAAAAAAAAAGTCCCTGTGAGGTTTTCCTTTAAAATTTTGTCTTTCCAAATGATACAGGTAATTCCTGTACAATGTCTCCCTGTACAACTGTGCTGGCAATACAGCACAGCCAGCTGAAAAAACCGACAGCCAACACTTGGCAGGAGTCCAGAGACAGGCTGGAATATCTGCTACAGCTCCCACTCAGCTGCTCCTGCAACAAGTCCAGGTCGCTGAAATTCCTCGAAACCCTCCAAGGGCACGTGCTGAGCTTGCCTGAACCGATGCATTCAGCCAGGCTGGGACTGAGACTGATTTCCAGGCTAAACCAGTAACGTCCCCTCCCATCTGGACCACTGGCAAGTGGAGCCAGTTTGTGGTGCTGTATGAAGTTGTGTCATGAATTAAAATCCCACTGGAGAGTGAACAAGGCAACGCAGGGAGTGCGACTCATTTTCTGCTGGGCTGGAGATCTTGCATTGTTTAAAACCTTCTGAGGTGAAATCTGCCTTCTACAGGAATTAGTTCCGCCGTGGCACTGCACCTCCAGCCACCCCTGGGTGCACCATAAAAACCACCAGCACCCCAAAAAGCCACACGGGAGAGTGAGGAGGATGTTCCCAGGCCCGGTGTGAGTGTACAGGGCACGACGTACCACCAGAGGGGAAGGGGAATGAGAGAGAAGCCGGATTTCTCTTCCTCCAGTTCTCCAGAGCTGCTGCTCTGCAGGTGGCTGGGCTCCTTCCCTGGCAGTGCTGCCTGTCTGTCCAATGCCCATGGCTGAGCACCAGCACTGCACTGACACACAGAGTGTGAGGCACTTGGGGACCACGAACAGAGCCTTTACCTGTGGTACAGTGCCCAGTATTTCTTTGAGGTTGCAAAAATTGAGGAGAATTCATGGTCTTGTGACTCAGCCCATGCTCCACAGCCCTGGGACCAAAGTGGCTTCTGAAGAGGCAGAAAACAAAAATGCACTGAAAAGCTCAAGTTTTCTTCAATGCAAACCAAATGTCATTAGAGAAACTGCCTTCTGCTCACTGCT